CTATACTGAGACCTTAGAACTATATCTCAAGGTGTGTGGCGCATTTACGTTGTAGATGTCTATGGGCTCCAGTAACCACTTAACATCAGGTGGGCTGTGAGCTCGTCCACACATCTAAGCAATANAAAAAAAAAAAAAAAGCTTCAAACTATTTTGCTGTTCTATAGTTAAATACTCTTTGATACGACGCCTCAGAGACTAAACGTGGGCGTACTCATTCATGCAGCCATAGTTCTGGAGGAAAGCCAATATTCTTAATCACGTCAATACGCTTTACCTTTTACTATAAAAATACTGCACGAAATCGTTACGAATACGTGTCACTGTCTTTTGATAACATTTTCAAGGCGAAATTTGAATAATTTTGCTATGAAAGATTTTTTGAAGCCCGCTAATAGTATGGATATCGGATGTTTTTTTACTAGGCAGATGATCGTAATTTTTTTTTTGTCATTATATACGTAATCCAGGTGTACAGCAAATGTAAAATTATAAAAAGGAATTCAAAGGAAAATTGATTGGTTAATGTAATTTTTTTGAGAGCGAATATTAACATGCGATAATTGCCAAGCGGTCGGTTTCACTATTGACTTTATTTATTAAACAACAAGTTCCTCGCTGGCCTCTTCGTTCACTTTCACAAAAATATTATGGTTAATGTTTACTTTAAACATTAACATTTATGACCTAAATTTTTTTCTATCGGGATAAGAGGTATTGTTGGTGGCTCGAGAGCTTTTTAACTTTACCGTAACGAGTCAGCAGGGGCTCAACCAGGGGGGAACAGGAAACCTACCCTACTTATTTCTCGAAGGGAACTCTTCTACCTCTCATTGTTTTATAGTTCGCCTGTTTACTAACTGACACTTGTGGACACAGGAACGAATTTATGGAAGAATAGATTAAAATTCACCCATATTCCTTCTGGAAATTGAATTGTACCCCAAAATTATTTTCGCTTTGGAGAAAACCGTAGTAAACAGATTTAGATCGTTTAAAATTAGAAATATATACATATATTCAGTTTACATACAGCTTTATGAAAAGACACGCTTGTATCTTAATGTTCGGGCCTCTAGAATAACGGTTTTATATATTTTCTATCTATATTTAAAAATTAATAAAAAAATAGTACTTACTTTTATTAGTTAGAATGTGTTATCGGCCCACTATAGCATAAGGAAAATCAGACTATATAAGCTTCCTAAATTTGGTAACCGACCTTCTAATAGACGCAATAACATAATTAACCTAGAAAAAATGCTATTTTACACTTCGATACGGAATAAATGTTTGTTTCGTGCTAGAATTAGACAGTATTCCCATAGAGAGAGCCAACTGAGTTTCTCACCGGATCTTCTCAGTGGGTCGCGATTCCGATCCGGGCCTAGATTCTGCGAAGCACTGCTCTAGCTAGGACTAGGTTAGCAAATTCTCTCAAGTTGAGCCCGTTTGCTCACCTACCTGTTCGCGTAGCTGAAATAGCTTCCTAGACTATCAGCTAATATATAGGGGGAATGAGAAGATAATATGGCGATAACTGTTTGAACGGACTCATAATATTTCTTATTACTAATACTTAGATGCTTCGGACCAAGAATAAGGAGGTAGGAAGATATCAAGGATATAATGGAGTAACGCCAAAGGGTAGAAAACTATCCACTGAGCGTGTGTAATTGGTTGGTAGACCGGCGGACCAAATGCTACTACTGCCCGAACTCCTAATTAAACAAACATATCTTGAAAATGTCGTTAGCGAGATTCAGGTGTTTGTCAAATATTTTTGTGTTGTTTGATAGCTACCGACACAATACTATTACTATAAATATCAATAGGTTTTAATGAAGCAAATGTTATACAGCTGTATTTATTTTGACAATACATTAATAAGTCAGCCGATTTACCGCTAGTTTCGTGGCCACGCAATCTTAGTCGGTCTCCGCGTTCAGTGGGCGTTGGTTATGCTGTTTATTCTTTTGACCTTAACAGCTGAGTCAACAGAATACGCGAGTTCGGAGATGGCTATCATAAAAGAAAACGAATAATTCTGAAAGTCCTCAAATAAATTATTAATCGATGATTTTTATTATTGTATTGACCATAACAACTTGTGACGGCAATAATTTAATATTTTCAATCAAGGTCGCAGTTTCACGCTGTGTTGTCTATGGGTCTGAAGGAGTCCATATAGAGTCTCTTCTTTATTTCGCCGTAAAATCGTGTTTTATGTAATTAACACCACAGTTGAAACAATAGGAGTTTTCTTGTTGTAGCGGCATAAACAACTAAGTTATTATATTATATTAGTTACATATTACACACATTATATTTTATTTATAATTTAAATTTTCGGCGGTAAAAAGGTCCCATGTCACAGATTATCTTCTGTTTCCCACTTCTCGTGCGTTCCGGCTTACGCATCATAAAAAGGTGCGTTCTTAAACGCCACAGGTCGATAACCTATAAACAATGAGTAAATGAATGAGATCGCCGAACTGTTTAAGGTATTAAAAAAATCAGAGGTTTCATTTTATAATATTATTCAGTGACAAATTTTGTAACTGTATGATTTGAATACGTTTTTTTCTATTTTTATAATTTAAATCAACACACTGAAAAACACTTTGATTAATTACTCTATGAAAAAGCCCTTTGATTATTAAAAATAAATGAGATATTTTCCACTCAAGAGTAATTTATTTTGAAATTCCTATACCATAGACACAGCCTAACAGCGAATATTATAATTCAAACATACACGCACTTTTAAAAAAAAATACAATTAAACCTACAGAATTTTCAATGTTATTCGTAGCAAAGGGATCCAATACAATAAAGGCATGTCATAACACACGTAAGAGAGTAAAAAGACAGTTTAAACATGTTTAGCTGGCGGCCAAAATTTTATTTGCTCCCCTTTACGCGTGTGGGTCGAGTGGAATTAACGCGCTGTTAGTACATGTTAAGTTTTTTAATTTTAGATTCCGGCCCATGTGTCTATGGTCAGAGGTTCTTAATCAGATAACAGGTGGAAGTGTTAGAAAATCACAAGCTATTTTCTTCTCTGTTTCTATTTCATTATTAACTCAGCAGCTAGACTGAACACAGCTACGGTATTTTTCTAAAAAAAGTCCCGTTTATATTTCCCGCAAACGAACTATAGTTTGACGTTTCGAGGGTAAGAGAGCCGTCAATCCCGTGCAACTAAGACATCGTATCTCAAGAACATATACAGGCAGAGATTTACGCTTCAATGTCTCTGGACAAGAACTTAACATCAGGAAAACCGTTAGCTTAGCTTAGCTTAGTTTATGGTAGGCAGCGGCTTCGCTCTGCCTCTGGCATTAGTGACGTCGATGGGCGACGGTAACCACTCACCATCAGGTGGGCCGTATCTTCGTTAGTCTACAAAGGCAATTTAAAAAAACTAGCTGGTTTTTTTATTTACTATTTAATACTTAATTTTCCGGTTCACATTTTTATCTCTAAACCATAGTTAACTCAAGTCACTGATAATTATAACAGAATTTGTATATCGTGACGTCACATTGACAATACTAATATAAATGCTATTACGCATGTTTACTATAAAACTGACCTCAAATAATGACATAAACAGATTTATGCCAATTATAGGAAGGCTATCGCTAAGACTATCGCTAAACGTATCAAAAACACCCCTTAGTTAAAACTATACATGCGCCATCTGTCGTATATTTATAATACTAGGATAGAAGCCTGAAGTACCAACAATGACACCCTATCAAGTTTCGTCACAGTCGGCTTAGGAACACTTAATGACAAACACATAAAGAATCATCATTTGTTATAAATCAATGACTGCATACATACATCTCTATAAAATAAAAATAGACGAAAGCTATTTAAAAAATCGAAATCTATTTTGTTGATCGTATCCCTAACCGTACGGATAAGAGGTAGTGTTCAAAATAAAGTCATAACATAAATCATAATTAAATGATAGCATTTCGTTGAAGTCTTTTGCAAGGCGCCCGCCCATCGAACTAAGAAGGTCATAATATGATACCTAAATAGCTAACGTAGGAGTACAGACGATGTCAGAAGTGCTTAAACAATATTTTATTTAAAATGAAGAGCCATCATAAAATATGATCAAGGATAATAATTTATTTTTCCCAAGAACCTTTTTTGATGGAGTACCATGTATCATAAACAATATCAATTGTTATAAGGTTCAAGGGCACGAACAACTTAAAATGCATATAATTTAGTTGTAAGCCGTCTAGGGGAAAAAGCGATATATATTCGTTATTCTGTAAATGTACAGACGAGACATCACATTTCTAATTTATATTGATAAGTGTCACAACGTAATTAACATAATTAATCTTTAGACATATCGATCGGCATCTCAACTATAGTGTAAAACGGTTGTACTCCTCTTCAAAACTAAATGCCTGAATGCTTAACTATGACTGCCTGACTTAAATATACAAGGTACTAGTGTCCACGTAATATACCTTACATCCTTCAACCAGCAATTCACCGTTCACCATAGATGGTCTGTATGTTGCCCATCAGTGGCTCCCATTTGTGGAGTTATTAAAATTATCTACGGTTGATGATGATTGCGGATAATTTGAATAATGCTTTTTGTGATCAGTATATTCGGGACGAAATTTTCAAATTAGTAAAGTTAGTAAAACTCGTCGAATATTTGGCTGTTTAACTTAGACTAATGCATTCCAAAAAATGTAATGCAACATTTTTATTACAGTCTTGCTACGAGTGTATTTTCGAATCTACCTATTTTTAAAGACTTACTTATAGCATTATTCTAAATCAACTTCAACAAAATTATGTACTTAAACGATTTTGTCGGCAAGTATCCCCTCATCCCACGTCCCATGGTTTTTTGATCGGAGTCCAAGTGACGTCACAAGTGTAGCAACCACATAAAACGGTACGCGCCACTGCTACAGCCACCAATATCGTAGAGCATTCACTACGGCGTAGACGCGCTACGCAGCCTCCAGGGAGAACTTAGTCCGAGTTTATAGTGAATATCAAGGTAAGTGTTTGAATTTATTTTAAATATTCAATTTAAATGTAGTGAATATGGTGTGTGTAAAAATGCATATTTAATTTAAAAAAAACAACTTAATTTTTTTGAAATCATTTCGATGGCATTTCTATTAGCAAAATTTATTTTTTGTACTCTATACATTTTTGTCAAATTCTTAAAAAAAATATAAATTAGTTACTCAAAAAGTCATACTCAAAAATACTGATATTTATCATTTATTAATATATTTTTTTTCGAAATATTCGCATTGATTGACATACCAAATAATTTATAAGCATCTACTGGAGTGTTTAAATAGTTATTATATATGAAAAAAATTCCAATGGAATAATTTGTCAAAAAAAAAAAACCTTATCAAATTGTGCCAAGAAAACCGATCCTACAAATTAAACTTATTAAAATAAAATTCCACCGTGGAGACTAAATGAAGTTTTAGATAGTTTATATTTAATAGTAGTTTAAGTCACAATAACTACATGTTAGGTCTTCCCAGTTTATTTAACTTTTATCCGAATTTTCAAACGTCATGAAAATTTGTCCTATCTATATTTTCTAAACTTTAATTAATTTTAATTGTCATTCCACCCAAAACCAAATGCTTCCCAAAAGAATTTGGTGCTAATAATTCACAATGAGAATGATCTGATATTGAAGAGCACATCAGACTAAGCTCTCAACTGCAACGAAATAATCTACTTTATAGAGACGTATATATGAAAATTGACCATTAATTATAATACGAACCTAACTTATTCACCTCAGAGTTTCTTCAAGAGATCTTACTAATGGGTTAGCCGCAATATACGTAAAGTAGACTAAATCAGTCACCCAGCGGAATTTGTTCCAACCCGCCAATCCCAACTTTGTCCATTAACACATTTCAGATAATCGTCCTCTGTAATTCGAAATTAAATTTTAACTGAGCTCAGTTAATTTTTGGATAGGTCTTGATCACCGAAAATGTGTGCTTAAGAAGTGTTGTTTGAGAAATTCTGTTAGATATCCGGATGATGATAATAAAACCCTTTTAACGTAAGATATTTATTTATTTATTACAAAAACATACAATTTTAATCATAATAACAAATATTGAAACGATGTTATCTGCTGTAGTCATAGACTGTGTTGTAGATAACAACGCCAACCCCTACACACAACGAACAATAACATATAAATTTAAATATTTCATAAACACATTATAATAATTAATTTTAGATACAATTATCAAATTAATACAATATTATTTCAAAATCTAGAAGTACAATTAGTGTATGTGTGTGTGTGTGTGAATTCCTGAGTGTATGTGTAGATGCGTGTTAATACCTAATATATAAATTGCTCATTACCAAAAATGTGTAAAAATGTGTAATCTACTCCAGTAATTCTTCTATATCTTCTTTGACGTGACATATGCCTAGATAACTGACTAAGAATCTGTTGATACATATGTAGCTCGCTCTTTACTCTGCTGTGTTACTATGTAAAGGCTACTTTACGGACACCTTTTATAGATGTATTCTTAATCTCAATATACTTGTATACTGCTATACTGTTTTACTGTATATAAAAATAAATCTATATACACTACGAGAAAGGCTTTGCGTCAGAAATAAGACGAACTTTACTAGAGGATCACTAGTAGAATTATTTGAAACGGATAAGCTTTGATTATATCAAGCATTATTTTTTGAGTTTTCCACTTTTAGGGTAATTTGTCGTCATTTAAACTGAAAATACTATACCGACATTATTGTTGTTGCGTTTTAAATTACTGTGCAAGCTGATTATATTTTTTGTATTCCTATTTAAATTTTAATAGTAAAAGCAATTAAATTATTATACAAGCTTATATTTTTTGTATCCTTATTCTTATTTCAATTTTAATACTAAAAGCAAATTGGACAATGTAATTAATTACATTTTGAATAAATGCAATTTTAAAAAAAAAAGTGATCTAAATAGAATTGACTATTTTGAATGGTATTTATTTTGTAAATAGTTTATTTTGACAAAGAAACAAATTTTCTAATATGAATGCGAACAAGCTCTTCGAAATAAAATTAGGTACACCAAAGTCACAGAAAAAGTGGACGTAGTTAAAATGACATAAGCAGTTTCATTAATGTTTCGAATAACATTAAAAACTACATCTCCTCCTTGCGTCGATAATCCTCAGTGCTGAGGGTCGTGGCCTCCTCTAATAACTTTCTCCTGCATCATCTTGCGCCATTCCTGCCTGTCCTCGGCTACGTCTAATAAGCGTTAAAAAGTAGCATAATGTGTTGAAATACAAAAACTGTTTTGAAAACTGTGCTCTAAATTACAAGCACAAGTTTCTAGTCTTGAGAAGTTGTATGTGCTAACTTACACAAAACAATTATCCAAATTATAATTTAATCCAAAAGGGGCAACATTAACGGTATTGTTCTCGTAAGATGTGGATTACATGAGGTCGGGTTATTAGCTTTTGTTTCAAAACAATAATGAAATGTATTTGAATACAATAATAAGATGCCTTAATTATAAATTATTTTTGTGAATTAATATGGGCCGGTCAAAAGATGAGAGTTATTTTAGTTTGTGCCGTCATTCGTTCAATGATAAACTCATGTTTAATGGCAATTAAACACTTGGTCACGAAAGACTTCCCCAAGAAAGGAATAGCATTATGTAATAAAGTTTTTTTTAATTTTTTTTATTGCTTAGATGGATGGACGAGCTCACAGCCCACCTGGTGTTAAGTGGTTACTGGAGCACATAGACATCTACAACGTAAATGCGCCACCCACCTTCAGATCTATGTTTTAAGGTCTTAGTATGGTTACAATGGCTGCTTCACCCTTCAAACCGAAACGCATTACTGCTTCACGGCAGAAACAGGCAGGGTCGTGGTGCCTACACGTAGGGACTCACAAGGGGTCCTACCACCAGTGATTACGAAAATTATAATTTTGCGGGTTTGATTTTTATTTCACGATGTTTTTCCTTCACCGTGGAAGTCAATCGTGAACATTGGTTAAATACGTATTTCATTAGAAAAATTGGTATCCGGCTGCAGGATTCGAACATCGTTGCGTCACTAAATATGAATGCACCGGACTTCTTATCCTTTAGGCCACGACGACTTCAAAACTTATACGCATAAGATCACACGGTCAGATCGTCATAATGGCTATGGGTTCAGGTTCCAACAGCAATTGGGTTGTGAACTCTTTCTCTGCAATAAAAACAAAATAAAACTACCCTCCACGTATGTGAATAGCTTTAATGACTCGACTCTTGTTTCCTTGGATTAAATAACCAAAAGAAATATTCCTGAATATTAATAAAACTTATCTATATATATAAAAATGAATTGCTGTTCGCTAGTCTCGCTAAAACTCGAGAACGGCTGGACCGATTTGGCTAATTTTGGTCTTGAATTATTTGTGGAAGTCCAGAGAAGGTTTAAAAGGTAGATAAATATGAAAATGCTCGGAATTAAATAAAAATAACAATTTTGTTTTTCCTTTGATGAGTCCCCCGTCGGACGGATTCCTTTTGTTTGTTTTAAGTTCATTTTATATAAAAGTTTAGGTCTTTTATTTATCGATTGAGGCACTACGAAGTTTTCCGGGTCAACTAGTAATAAATAAATAAAAATCTCAGATAACAGTTCTATTAAATATAAAATATTATATTATATTCATAAAATATAATATAATTTTGCTTTTCGCACAAAAACCATAATGGACAGACAGGATACAACTTGATTGACGTTGTCATCGTAATTCCTTCGGTTTCGTTATGAGGAATCCTTTTTGAGCGAACCTTTTTAAATGTACGAATTAAGAAACGAAATTTCCTGTTTCTGCCATTCCATTTATGAGATGTTTTCGTGGAACATTAATCGTAATAGTGATAGCTAGAGCTAATTATTGATGATATTTGGGAAATATTAATGAAAAATACAGAAAAGTCGATTTTCGTAACGCCTGTTTACGAATAGTAAAAATTGTAACCAATCTAAATTTAATTGTAATTTAAATTCGAATAAAATTCACGGAAAGTATGTAGTTTCATTTTTATATAACCAATTATGACTACTTCTTTTTTATTGCTTAGATGTGTGGACGAGCTCACAGCCCACCTGATGTTAAGTGGTTACTGGAGCCCATAGACATCTACAACGTAAATCCCACCTTGCAGCCTGCACCTTGAGATATAAGTTCTAAGGTCTCAAGTATAATAACAACGGCTGCCCCACCCTTCAAACCAAAACGCACTACGGTTTTAGGGCAGAAATAGGTAGGGCGGTGGTACCTACCCGTTCGGATTTACAAGAGGTCCTACCATCAGTAATTTAGTATTTTAGTATTTTTATTCTACATATTCACAAGATTCTAACTTAAAGGATGCCGAGTTCCACTTGAAGAATAGTGCTATCTAAATATTTTAAAATTCTGATTATTAATTATGACTGTTTTGGCACGGAATAAATATCTCTCGTTGGGATAATGTAATACATTATTAGTATTAGTGGAGAAAATATGTATTAACGTATCCCAGTTTCAAAACCGAGACGATTGTGAAGTATTTGGAAATGGTCCATAAAATATTTATTATAGTATACAAATAAATGTTACCCGTAAAATATGTTACCGAGTACTTTTAGTATATATCTACAAACCGTGAAAATCTATTTTAAGGAGTAACTATATTTATATATCGCACACACGTTGCAATAACGTCACTTATGCAAATTATGTAATTTTCCAGGAGAAACGTTGGAAAATTCAACATCTTATTATATAATTCTTATATAGTTTTACTAGGCTATAGAAATAAAATGATAATATTTAAACTAAAACTATAAACTGCGTCAGTAAAAGCAAACATCTCTATCGTCTCACTAATAACTATTAAAAAATGTATTTTCTCATACTCAGTTAACTTTTTGTTAACTGTTAACAAAAATTGCATAAGTGACTTATAGCACCGTATGT